GAATAGCCTGGTCTTCAAGTTAGGAATTTCACAGCTATGCTCCAGCATCTTGAGCTGTATAAATGAATCATCAGCACAGCGAAACCACAGAATGACACCAGCTTCCCTAAGAGTCTCTCTCTATATATATAGCTGCTAGACTTGCATATTTCTGTTTATAAATACTCAATAATAACTGACCGCAAAGTGACACGGCCTTCTCAGCAGACAGCTCCTAAAAAATACTTGTTCTATCTTTCATTTCTTCCTGAGTTATTTTAAACCAGACTTTTGCACCTCCAGATATACTATTTTAACTTCAAGTCCTGGTACTGCTGCATGTGATCAGGACATTTTGTGGGTAAAAAGACAGCCAGGACAGACCTCTTCTGAAGAAAGCTGATAAAAACTTTTGATCCTTGTTAGGTGTGTCTGAGGACATTATGCTGTCTGGGAACTGCCCTGCTACTCTGTAGATATCTGGGTTTAGTTTAGTTTTCTAAGGCAGGTCAGTGTATTTTATTGCACGACAAACTCACTTTGAACCATTTAGCCCATTCCAGCTGTATTTTGCAAGGGGCTGTGTTTTCAGAGTCTGGAGTTCTAGTAGCGTGAGGAAAATCGGTCACTGCTGGTGGGTACAGATGGGACAGCCAAAGCATGGCCTCACAGGGGGAAAGTCAGGCAGATCCCAGTCCTTACACGTGGTGATGGACAATGACAAGCTGACCAGTTAGCGTTGACGTAGTTGTGAGTGAGGCCAAGGCTGTGCTGCACCTGGCCTAGGCAAAGTAGTCATGGGTGAGGTGGGAGGAGAGGACGTGAAGTTGGAGGGAAGGAAAGGGTTGGAGGGTGGTGGGGAAAGACCATGAGGGGAGAGCCGAAGAGCCGAGAGTGGAGGGGTTGTGTGTGCGTGTGGGTATGAGTGTGTGAGGGCACGGGGCACAAACCTCCAGCAATGCAAGCGATGCTAGTTCTGCTGCTCGTTGAACAGCTTGCTGTCGGACAGCTTTACTCAGTGAACGCAGTGAAAGTCTTTGCAGCAGTTGGTAGGTACAATCTTTCCAAAGACATCAAACCTCATTTCCTGCGGTTTTGCTCTTTTTGAGTCTGGTAAATGTCTGCGTTATTTGCTGGGAACTTGGCTGGCTCTTGTGACCACCGCTAGCTTTAGAGACTCCCACCTCTATTGCATATGTCACTCACATAGTAATAGCCTGAACTTAGACTTCATATAACATAGGTCACTCAATCTGACAGCCCTTCTGTCTGGTTGCCATATAGTGAACTGGAAAAGGAAAGACAGAAATAATTTTAGAATTCACGAGGTCAGATTCTCAGAATGAAGTGCAGGAGATCCAGAAAGCAAAACCAGTGGTTTCGTAGCCCAAATGTGGGAGTTTAGCGTCAATGGAGATGAGTTCTTTCTTTTCACCAAGAAGATAGAGCACTACAGGGCAGTTACTAACTTTAGTTACGTTATCAGCCTTTCAGGTTTATGGATAACAGGACTGCTTAAGGACAACTGGGCAGCCATGTGTGGGGCTGATAGCTGTAGAGACCCTTGCAATGGCCGCATTGATCAGGATACAGAATCAGAGAATCATAGAATGGTTTGGTTGGAAGGGACCTTAAGGATCACCTCGTTCCAACCCCCCTGTCATGGGCAGGGACACCTTCCACCAGACCAAGTTGCTCAAAGCCTCATCCAACCTGGCCTTGAACGCTTCCAGGGATGGGACATCCACAGCTTCTCTGGGCAACCTGCTCCAGAAACTGTAAAGACAGTTACAGATTGAAATATGGGGCTTTGTGATATTTTCTTTTTGCTTATTTACTTATTTACTTATTTGCTTATTTACTAAGTTGGTGTAATATGGTGAATATTGCCTGAACAAAAGAATATGTGCAACCCAAGCATATGACACATACCCAAAGACTGCAGTATATTAATAGATGTCATCATCTATATGTTTCTTCTCTCCATAGTAGATGGCAGCATGGTCTCAAAAACTGGTAATTTTTCATCTCTTAAACAATATTCTGTGGTCTCCAGTATAACTAAGGCTGATATTAAAGAAAGAGTTAATTAATTATGTTAGGATTAAATAAAAAATGGTTCTTACATGCCTACTGCAATAAACAGCTACGTTGTTTTTATTACTCAGTCATTATTTGGTTAGTGCGAGCACCACTAACCTTAGGCTAGGACCCCTGTCCTCCAGACCAGGGCTGCTCAGCTGAGGTTTACGAAGTCTGAGGAGGGGAGGGCATTTTACTGGGATCTGCTAGCAGAGACCTGTGTGCTGACTCCAGGTCCGCTGGGTCAGCCGGACACCACACATTGCCTGCCTGGGCTAGCAATGAGGCAGTGCATGGCAGCTGCTCCCTGTGGGAGCAAGAGGCTGTAAGAAATGCAGGGTTGCCTGCAGAAGGCATCACATGTCAGGACAAGGCACAGGAAAAATTGGCTTGTGGTCCAGTTCCAGACTGAAGTCCCCCGCTAGATTGCCCTCCTCTAAACAGGTGGAGGTCAACATATAGTCTCAAACTGCACCAGGGGAGGTTCAGGCTAGAAATGAGGAGGCATTTCTTCACAGAAAGGGTCGTTGGGCATCAGAATGGGCTGCCCAGGGAGGTGGGGGAGTCACCATCCCTGGAGGAGTTTAAGAAAAGTCTGGACGTGGCACTTAGTGCCATGGTCTAGCTGACATGGGGGTGGTCAGGGCAAAGGTTGGACTTGATGATCCCAGAGGTCTCTTCCAACCTCATCGATTCTGTGATTTTGTGAACATTGCCACAACTCGTAATCTAGTTCTTACCCCTTCTGCTCAGAAGCCTAGATGCCATAATCTGCTTATATCTGTTAATTCTTCATACTTCATTGCAAAGAGAGCCTTAAGGCAAGCTGTGACACTATGATGGATGTTAAGGAAGGAAAGGGGAATCAACGCATTTGTGATCACAAGCGATCTGGGAAATCACAAAATATTTATATTGTTCATCAAGAACTTGCTAGACCACATTATGTGAAGATTGCAATTATTTAGCTGCTGACTATGCTGAAGGACACCTTTTGTTACCCGTGAGAATTTTTTATTTGAGGTAGAGAGTGAAATAGTCATGTGAAGACATGAGTGTATGCAAACTACCGTTCGTCAGAAAAAGGGAAATTTAGTCATATATTTAGCAGTCATTTCCCCTTTTTTGGGAAATCCAAATACATATTTTCTCTCTCTCTGTGTCTCTGTTTCTCTCATCCTCACTCTACGGAAGGAAAAAAAGGTGGGTATAAAATGTCATTTGGTTCTGACACAAATCTGATTGGGCAATGAGAGGCAAATTTCCGCTGCCTGTTGAGCTAAACCCTATATAAGATCCTCACTAGCAATTTTCAGTCACATCTTTTCATGAGAAGCTAATGGCCAAAAGACTGCAGAAGCACAGGTAAGTGAATCTGATGGAAATTTGGGAATGAAAACCTCCCCTAAACCCTCGGATTGTGTAGGGCTTACGGAGATTGCGAGATACTAAACCAAAGGGACTGGAAAGCTCTGAACAAAATAACCAAGTATTTTCAGCAGGCTGAAAGGATCTAACGAGAGAGAAACTCCCCTGTTAGAGGGTATTACATGTGAACCATGGGGCTTGTCAAGACCGCAGACAAAGCCAGCAGCACCTAGCCCAGGTGTAGCCGAGAGCAGCTACAGCTCCATGCCAATGCCCTGGAAACCCTTGCAGATTTAGCGGTAGGGCAGACAACCCGTGGTTATGAAACAGTGTTATTGAGCAAGAGGTTGGCTTTGTGGTGTTGTAGAGATGACAATAAGCTGGAAATAGTTTATTATAGTCAAACTATCAGGTGTCAGATAAATATAGCTACTAGAAGAGGGAGAAATTTGGATTAAAACCACCTTATAAATATGAGCATGATGTGTTACACAGAAGATGCCTGAAGGTGGGTACCTATGAATATGACTGTATTATAGCGGTAGAAATATGTTTTTGCTTTTGGACACCATTTGAAGTAGTTGTCCGATCGTTTAATGTTCATCCTATGGGACAATCATAGCGTTAGGTTAATGTTAAACGCATGCAATTTACATTTCTGTATATAAAATGGAAATAGCATGTATCACATGCATATGTGTACTGTATTGCACATAAATACCTTACACAGAGCATAAACTGGTGCCTATATACAACATGTTTTATGTACTTTTGCCTGCGGTACACTGAGTAGCAGCAGCTAAAACCTCGTGGCAGACCAGAAAGCATTCAGTGATGTTCGCAGAAGCTGCCTTGCCGATGCCAGGCCAGTACAGATGACAATTAATGAATGACTGACAGTGAATAGTTTCATTTTCCCGTAGTGTCACCATATCTGATTTTTAGAACAAGTTGTTCAGACTTTTCCTCATCTTTTTTTAGCACAGATGGTAGTAGTGTCCATGCCAAAACCCCACGTGCATACCAACAGCAAGATGGGTGTGCTTGCCATGGGAGTCCAAGTTTTTTGTCCCAAGAGAAACATTTGTTGGAGACTTTGAAAGCTTGGCTCTGGTTATAGCAGGAAGGTTGCCTGCAGCCTGATCTACGCTAGCTGGCCTACTTTGGTAGCCACAGTGGGGAAGATTAAGTGACACAGGATTTAATGAAGGCCACACAACCTTGGCTGCCTTGTGCGTTCCTCAGTCACATCTTATTGCAAAATAAGCAGAGCTAGATTTTTCCACCCGTAGCTGTTGCACTGAAAAGCCGTGGGGACAGCAGCATCTTGTGGTATGTTGTTGGCATCTCCTGGAGAGAAAGGAAAGGGACAGAAGCAATGTGTTTGTGCCAAGCCAGGTGCTCTTGCTCCACAAATCAGCCCCCATAAACTAGGGATGAAGAAGCCTTTCTGCTCACTAAGGGTGAAGCAAAGCTCACCAGATCCAGAGTGAGGAAAAGAGCAGCTAACTCTTAAGTTAACGTTGAGTATTTTCATTGTATCTTCCGTCTTGTAATAAACTTCCCTGTAGATTTCAAAACACTTTCCCTCGATCTTCTCCTTCCGATTTCCTTTGGGAAAAAATGCGTGGGCTCTTCTTTGTCCTGGTGATGTGCACAGCGGGCGCCTCTGCTTTCAGACTCCAGCAAGTCAAAAGCACAGGTAAGGACATGCTTTTTTTTTTTTTTCTTTCTGTCTCCCTCTCCCTTCTTTTTAATGTGCCTGGCTGACAGTAATGCAAAAATATCTCTGATTTATATAGAAAAGTGCCCAGATCACACCGTGTTTTTCAAACACTACTATGAACTGCACGGAGAACCTGTGGTTCTGAAATGCCCTTCCCCCAGATACAAACATTTGGATTTTTCTGCCTTGACCCCTAATATCACATGGTATAAAAATGGTTCAAAAACCATGATATCAGGAAGAGATGAAGATCCAAGAATCTGGGCAGAAGGAGATGCACTCTGGTTCTTACCAGCAATGCTAGAAGACTCAGGAGTATATATCTGCACAAGAAGGTGGGTATTTAAAAGAAAATCCAGTGCACTAACAAGATGACTATGTCTAAAATACCTTAGCTTGATTCTAAACTCCAGTTATGTTCAGAGCATGTTTGGATAAGATCATTTCCTTGCCAACTTTATTAGAGGAAAAAATGTGGGAAGTCAGAACTCTTAAAAGCATTATGTGTCTCCTATAGATATATATACTGAAATCTGGGTAAATCGTGACACAGCATTGCCATTGTGGCTACAATCTCTCGAGGAAATAGTGTACAGAGGGTTTGTTCTAGCTTATTTATGAGCCAGTCAGGGCTATGGCAAGCAGGTACGTGCTGCAGGCAGGGGATTCTGCAGAATGCAACCCTTGTGTTACAGCTCCAGAGAAGCAAACAGCCTTGTTTGCACTTCACATTGCCTTACAAAGCACAGACCAAGGCACCATGGCTCTGTAGTGGCTTCCTTCCCTCTTCCTTATCCCTGGTCTTTATTTTTCTTCTTCTTCACATTTTAAACCAGAATTTGATTGTCTTGGTACTGCTGGAAGATCTTTCATGAGACCCAATGTGTATTTACTAGACTGGTACCAGACTTGTGATATTGCAGTGCGCTGAGACTTGAACCACGGCTTTTTTCAGCCCTACTGGTCCTTTTTTTATGAGTGTTTACAATCTGACATCCCGCTGTACAGTTTCAAAAGAGGTACCAGGGTCTGGATTTGTGGGGGACTGAGGAAGGCAAAAACCATTAGAAGGCCCATCGCCATTAGAACCTGAACTCCAGAAGATGTCCCAGGTCCTTGTCCCCTGCCAGCTACTCCATCTAGTCAGCCTCCCAGTACACCCCTGGCAATTGGCACCTTGCTCTGGGGTCTATAGTGGAAAACATACCTCTGCATCCCTGGAGCTGCCTGCGTGGAGCGCAGTTTCCTTGTCGGCAAGGCGTACACCTCGTGAGTGACGTGTGTCAGCAGCAGAAGAGATGGACAGGCAGAACTCAATCAATCATGCTCAGCATACTGGGTTGGCCTTTCCATATGTCTCAGCAGCAATTGCAGTGGTGGAGCACAAGAGAAGACTTGAATAGCGAGGCCAGAATGAAAAAGGTTGCAAAATACTGTTCCAGAGCACAGAGTAGTGGCCTGAGACCTTCAAGGGTATTTTTTAATCTCCTTTTTGGACTATTCTGCCCCAGTTCCTCAACCTATAACGCTGCGGCAGTGTTACTGGCAGCTATAGTAAAATGCTGTGAAACCTATTTGAAAAGGATACGCAAGAGCTGAGTACATAGGTTCATTGCTAACATTACTGCAGGATTAATAAAGTACAAACAAATTGTTTCCTTTGCAAATCATCCCATCGGGAAGCCACCAGATTTTTCTCAACACTCTGTAAAATGAGAATAGAAGTAAATTATCACACATCTCTGCTTCTGCTGAGCAAGTATTTTGGATTTGGGCATCTGACGTGTAGGTGACAGCCGGTGACAGTGCCTTAGGAGCAGTGTGAGTCCGTCTGCTCGCAGCCCCCAGCTGCTCCCCAGGAGGTTGTAGCCTGGACCCCCCGGCTTCGCTGGCCCCCTCCCTGGGTGGAGGCATCTCCAAGGCAGGCTCTCAGAGGTTGTAAAGGACATAATTTAAGCACCTGTCTCCCCCAGTTTGGTCCCCCTTGGGACTGGAAGGGATTGTCACTTGGGACCTGAAAGAAAAGTTAACTATCGCAAAACTTAATGCCTTCTTTTCTATGCAAAAATCTACTTAACGGAAATGTCTACTGATTGTGCAATAGTAACTGCAGATGTATTTTGATACATGCTTTAAGATTTTTATTTCTTCCTTAGGTCCCAATCATTAGGGTTTTCACAGTCAAGACCTCTTTCAAGAAAATGGCCATGAGGGTTCATGACACATCTGCTACTGTTTAGGCAGACATGTTCCCCCTCCTTGAAAAATTAAATCATGCCTCAGCCTAAGGGCGCACAGCAAACTCGGTGTACAAAAAAGAAAAGACTGAAGCTCCGAGGCAGACATGTGTCAGCAACATGTTTCGATTGTGCCAAAAAACCAGTACCAGTGATTTTCCAGGATCCCTCCTGGTATGATCTCAGTCTTGGTCTCTTAGAAACTGCTAGGGAGGGAAATGGAGCCAGGAGGAAACCAAGGGTGTCACTCGAGTCCCCCTTGTCACTGGTGGGTGCTCACCTCTCCCCGCTCTGTCTGCAGGAACTCTTCGTACTGCGCCGAGGTCTCCATCCACCTCACGGTCGTGGAGAAAAGAGCTGCTCGGGAGATTGCCTATCTCCAGGTCCTCTTCACTTTCACCTCTGGAAAGATTGTTTGCCCTGATCTGTGGGATTTTACACCAAATAGGACAAGCCTGGAGCTCAAGTGGTACAAGGTAGAACTTTAACTCCTCTTTGTGCAAAGCCTAATCCCGACCTGTTTGTAAACGCACATACGTCTCCACTCTCTGACCCTCCTGAACATCATGTTGTTAGTCATGAGCACAGCATAATACACTGGGAATTTTGGGGCAGATGTATGCATTTTAAGAAAGGTTCTCTGGGGTGGACTCAGCACAGGGTGAAGTGCTCCACATGTGCTCTCACAGGCAGTGTAACGATTTTTAAGGCTAGATTACCTAACCTGACCCCAGGGTTTGCCGCTCCAGATTAGGTCCTTCTCTTTGATGCTATGCTTCTTTTTACGGCCCCTCTAGTGAATCCCATAAAGGAGGACCTCCCAGTGATGCTTGCCCCCATGTGAGCTGTTCAGATGGGCTAGCTTTCATTAATCAACTGGAATATAGCCTTTGGAAATACTAAATTCGTCACACAACGCACTTAAGTGTTCTCTTCCCTAACTTGCCAGTCCATGGCTTTTCAAGTAGGCAAGCCTGGGCTTGCCTGTAAGGCAAAATCTGCGTGATTTCTAGTATTTGTTGTCGAAGAATGCCTTAGAATATTACTCTTATGAGGTCATGTATGGAAAGTAATAGTGTTGTGAAAACCTTCATGGCTATTAAAATGCTTTTGTCTTCGAAGAATTTCTCAGATGATTACTCTTAAGACGGTCCAGGAGAGAGTCTATTACATCTTTTCTATCTTAAAAGGTGCACTTTATTGAAGAGCTATACACCACATTGCAGGTAGATTAAAAATAGCGATTCTTCACACTTCATGTAGTGCCTCATAGCACTTTAGAGATGGATAAACATTTGAAGAACTTGCCCTTTGGTGGGAAAGTGGAACTGCTCAGATTTCCCAGCGATAAGTGAACTTTTAATAACAGAGAGACAGGGATAAGTAATTTTGTCTGGAAGTTAT